ACTGGCCAGCCGCCTGTCTCCGTGGGATGCAAGGGAAATTCCCTGCCTGCCTTGAGCTGGCTGGGCTGGGCTTGCTTTAAGGGAGAACAGGTGAGGTCAGGCATAGGCTCACTTTATTTTAAGGCGACTCATACCTGCCTCACAGGAAGGCCGAGGACAGGGTTAGCTTCTGTGAAGCACTTGGTCCTGGCAGAGCGGGCCGTCTACAGTCATGCTACCATGTCAGGGACGGCAACTGCCCAAGAGGGCAGCAAGCTCATCAGAGGAGGAGGCCGGCCAGCCACAGTGGTCTGTCTGTGTCCTGGGGGAGAGCGGGCCTGCCGGGCACGTGCCCGGACCGGGAGACCAGGAAAATCTTACGGGATGAAAAGCAAGACGACTAGGGTAAGTTTCCCCAAGGCTGCTGGGTAAACGCCAAGTCTCCAGCCCCGTTTCCATCCATGTACACGCATCTTCTTTCTCTTGGGTTTTCCGTATCTTGTTTGGGAATTAATCTGACACCTGATCCGAAGAGGTCAAGAAGACACGTGCGTAGATGATGCAAGAAGGGGCAGTGACCCCTGCTCTGTGTTGGGAACCTCGGTGACATCACGGCTCAGGCACTGGTCTGTGAGAGAACGTTGAGTCAGAGAGAGCCTTAGTCAGCCACCCCTAAAACTCCCCACAGGGAAGGGAAGAGAGCCATTAGGTAACTGAGCGCTTCCCTGAGGGCTGCTGGCTGCTGCTATCTGGCAGGGGTTCAAATGACTCAAGGGATCTCCGGGGAATCTAAGCCGAGAGGAGCGGCTGTCGCTCTCTCCCCAGCCTGATTCAGCCTGCCACTTCCACGGACACCACTCAACTGTTCTTCCCTTGCTGGGGCCCAGTGCTCTCTGGTAGTCCACGACACTGGGGGGGACTGCCTGCAGCCGTTGCCTCCTTTTGTCCCTGAGCCTGAGGAAGACAGACAGGCAGGGCAGGGCCGTCTGTTTCCATTAGGAAGGTGCTAGAGCCGGGGCCGCTTTCCCACTTCCCAGCGTGTGGTAAGAACAGCGTGTGGTAAGAACACGTCTGTTTGGGTTTCAGCGGCTGCCTGCCAGCGGAAGGCTCCAGGGCCACTGACGCATGTTTACATCTTGCTGAAGTCACAGGAGCAGACACGGCTGTGGCTTTCCCCCTTCGGAGGGGCGGGGCGGGAGGAGGGGAGGTGGGGGGCGGAGCAGGAGTCGGCCCGCAGGTGGACAGAGCCAGCCACGAACACCACCACAGTGCTTTTTAATTTGCCTGCAGATCATGGGCAGTTTCCAGACGTGATCGGGTATTGCCAGTCCCCCGGCTGTCACTTCATGGGGCTCCGAGCAGGCAAACAAATCCCTCCTGCATCTTCCAAACCGCCAGCACTTCCAGACAGCTGGGGCGCCTCTTCCCCAAGGCGCCCTGCCTCTCTGGGGCCTCCTCACCAGCGCCCCCCTCGTGGCTCTGGAGAGACCGTCCTGAAGGTTAGGTTGACTCGGGGCTCTCTGGAGTGGTACTCTTTAGGAACTCGGTGCTGTGGGAGAGACAGAGGGATGCTCTGACATGACCGGATACCGAATTCTAGCTCAGAGCGGTCGGAAATTAGTTATGAGGAAAATGATGGAGGCCTTCCAAACCTTGTGGAGAAGGGTCTCCTCCTCAGAAGCGGATGCCTGCCTGCCCACCCCCACCCCCAGCACCCCCATGGCAAGGCCAGCAAGCCGGCCGGCGGGTGGCATCTTCATCTTTCCTGACTGTGCCTCATCATCTCCGGCTCCCGCCATCTTTCCATAGCACGATAAACACCCGCCCACCCTCCCACCACCAACCAGCCCATGCGTCAATGGCGGAGACCAGGTGGAGCACGCGGAGCCCACGCCCGTGCCCATGCCCATGATCCAGCGTTCAAATGCACACCTTCAGCATGGCTTGGCCTAGTCCCGCACGCAGCCAGGAGCTACTCGAGGCTGTTTAAATATGTAAACAAATTAAATGTACAGTTCAGCTCCTCGGCCCCCAGCAGCAATGGCTGCACTGGACAGTACAGATGGAGCATGTCCATCTCCTTGGAAAGCTCTCGAAGGCTGAGCTGCAGCCACCAGACTGCTTGTCAGTAGCACCCACACTCGAAGCAGCCTCACTGTCTGGCTCACTGCCCGCTTGTTTACTACACTCCACTGCTGTGGGGTGGATCCCAACTCAGAGCGACCCTGTCTCTAAAATACTCCCTGCCATCGAGTTGATGCCGGCTCATAGTGAGCCTATGGCACAGGGCAAAACTGCCCTGTGAGTTTCTGACACGTAACTCTTCACGGAAGTAGCAATACCTTCTTTCTCCCTCAAAATAGCTGGTTTGAGACCTACTGACCTTGTGGTTAGCAGTCCGATGTGTAACCACTACGCCACTAGGGCTCCTATAGCGACCCTATAGAAATTCATAATCCTAAATCAGTCAAGAAGTCCAAAACCCTCACAACTGGGCCAAAGGTAACATCATGATAAAGGGAGAAAAGGCTGAAGATGTCAAGGCTTTCATCTGGCTTAGAACCGCAATCAGTGTTCATGGAAGCAGCAGTCCACAGATAAAAAGATAAGAGGTAAATCTGCTGCACAAGCTACGCCTGAGGCAAGCCATGGTGTTTCCAGTGGCCTCCTATGTGTCTTACAGCTGGACACTGAATAAGGAAGACCACCGAGGAATGGGTGCATGCGAATTGGGGAGCTGGAGGAGAATGGGGAAAGTCCCAGGACTGTTAAAGGGACAAACCCGTCTGTCTTGGAAGAAGTGCGGCCAGAGTGCTCCTTAGAGGCAAGGACAGGAGACTTCATCTCACCCACTTTGGACCTGCTGTCAGGAGAGGCCAGTCCTGAGAGAAGGACATCGTGCTTGGTGAAGTGGAGGGGCAGTGAAGGAGAGGAAGGCCCCCCGCCCAGGAGTGACCCAGCGCTGCAGCCATGGGCTCAGCAGAGGAACCGTGGTGAGGGTGGCGCAGGACCGTTTCGTTCTGCGGTGTGCACGGCCCCGTGGGTCAGAACTGACCCCATGGCGTCTACAACGGCCGGCACCCACCAGTCTGGAAGCAGCATTCCGCCACAAGGGAGAGAGTCCCGTTACTTGCGTGCTCTGACCTGCCAGTCAGCTTGGGTGGCTCCTTCCATGATTAACAAGGTCCCATGATCCAAAGGTATTTTCACTCTCTCCACATATGTGTAGTCTCCGTGCGCTTCCTGGAAAACAGCATGTGTCACACTGAGTTGTTTGTGTGTGTGACCCAGATGACACAGAGCCTGCTGGGAGCACAGGCGTGGATGCCACTGGCTACCCCCCTCCCAACAGAGGTGGCTCACATGCCTTGGGCCTGCCACTTGGCAGTGATGGACCTCGGCCAAGTTATTTTGCCTCTCAACTTTGATTTGCACAGCTGTAAAATGGGATGATGGAAACACCTGCCACGGAGCACACCTGTGAGGCTCTACGCTGTGTGCTGCTGCAATGCACGCCAACCCACAGCGCTGCTGCCCAGGGGTCCCCGGGACTCAGAACTGCACTTGGCAGGGGTTCCAGGAGGTAACTGGCACAGAGGCAGACTGTCTGTCACGTCTTTCTCCTAGAGTGACTGCTAGGTGTGAACTGTCAACCTTGGGTTAGCAGCTGAGGGCTTACCACTTCACCCCCAATCCCCCCATAACAGAGGCCTGCAAATCACTAGGATGCTGGCATGTGTGAAATGTGATTCAGGTGTGGGCAGTTTTCAGCAACCAAAAGGCAGAGCGGCCCATTCTGGCTGACTTGCACAAGAACCTTCCCGCCAGCCTCCTCCTGGGCTGTGGGAAGATGGGCTTTGGCACATGCAGGCATGACGGGAACGCACTCCGCCCCACCTTCCATCACCGCCCGGCTCCCCCAGACTACTTTGGTGCCGTGGAGACACACATTCGCTCTCCTTCTAGAACAGACCACAGAGGGCTGTCCTCAAAGACGGGAGTGCTGGGGCGAGCAGCACCATGTCTTCGGACCACAGCATCTTGTACTCCACCGCCCGGTCTTCCCAAGAAGGCGCCCAGGGCGCAGCTTGTAAAGCACTGGGCTGCGGAACAAAAGTTGAGTGGCAGCTTGCTCCTGTAGATCCCCAAGCCCTCGGCCAGCAAGCTGACTCACTCACTCCACAGGGTTTCTGCGTCAGGAAATCGTTACGGGAGCAGACAGCCTCATTTTTCTCCCAAGGAGTTGCTGGTGGGTTTGAACTGCTGGCCGTGCAGCTGACTGAAGCCTTGGGAGTGCGGGAGCAGCCCTGCTCTGCCTGAGCTGGTTGCTCTGAGTGAGGACCTTCCCAGCGGCAGGGTGCCGCGTGTGAGTTCTTCCCAAGAGCCACGTGTGGGTTTTACCAAGAGCTCAGAGTCAACCGAGAGCCCCTATGGCTACGACTCTTCACAGCTGACCTCAAAGTGCGGTTAGCAACTTTCCTTTCCCCAAACACAGAGCAAGCCCAACGATCAGGCTGCTCTTCACCTCCATTCCAGGCAGAATCCCTGGGCTGTCTATTCACCAGCTTCCCTGCCGGTACAGAGGGTTACTGTGGGTTACAGAAGGATTAATAGTCCCTGCAACACGGGGCTCCTGTTTATTATTGCAGAGTTGCTTCTGAAACCCTAACTGTTTACAGCAATTTCCCCCAGGAAAATCAAAACCAAAACAACACTAAGTTTGCATAAACAGTCTGAATCCCAGGCCCCAACCCTTGACAGCCATTTCATCAAGCACAGCTATAATGTTTACAGGCAGAGAGAGAAGTTGTGTTTGAAAGAAATGTTGCTTTCAGTGACTGATTTTGTCTTTCTGACTCAGAAGGAAATAATAACTATAATGCCTGCCTCTGGCCAGCCAGAGAGCAGTGGGGAGGTGGTGGCCCGCCCTCTGGAGGCCCAGCTCTGTCTCAGGAGGGCAAGAGTGCTTCTGGACAGGAAGAGGCCAGCCTGGGGAGCTGGGCCCTCTGAAGAAAAGGGTTTGGAAGCAACATGTCTGACGTCCAGGAGGCTGGAGGGGCCCAAGGTGACTTGAGTCAAGCTGGGAAGTCAGTGGTCACCTCAGAAAGGTCACAGGGGCCAAGAGCTAGAGGCAGAAGAACGTCTCCCCTCTTCACACATACTTGGCACCAGGAGGCCTTAACCTACCGTCACAGACACGAGGGCAGGAGAGGAGTGACTCCTCACCCCGCCACGAGGACAATTCCGAGGAGATCTGTTAGAACATTACACACACTACTGGTCGGGCAAAGGGTGTGCTAAAGCCAGTGGAAGAGAAGGGGTCCACACAGTGACCCCTGGAAAAGTGAAGCAAGAGCAGACTGAGCAAATCAGCGGGTGTTTCAGACCCAAGAGGACAATGTCCGTGGGACTAGAAAGTGACGCTTGACAGATGCACCTGTCACTCACGCTGTGAAGATCTGAAAGTCTCAAGTGAAAAGACCTCGTGTTGATTTTGAACCTACTACACTGGACACAATCATGGGCCAGACCAAAGGCAGAAGTGGATGCGTCTCTGCTCTAGGGAGAGCCACGTGGATGGGTCTGGAGAGGAGAGAGTGACAGTGCACCCACTGTGAGAGGTGATGTCACTCCCTTGCCGCTTGCTATTTATTCCTTCCAGCCCCCTTGGCTTGGGGAGCGCATTCCTAATTGGCAGATGGGGCTGGGCTAGTCCAGGGAGCATGCGCCAACGGCAGAACATACAAATGCTGCCTTCTTCTTCTGAGGCCGCAGTGGGGGGGGTGGGGGGGCAGTAGCCCACAGTGCTGCCCTTCAGCTCAGCAGAGGTGCAGAGACTTGTGCCACGCAGGAAGCACATCAAAGCCCCAAGGGGCGCACATGGCAGTGCACACTGTCTCGGCTTCATCCGTAGCTATGCCACTGAGGAGCCCGGTCAGACTGTGTAGAAGAGCACACGCATGGCCACCAGGCCTGCTTAAGCCACCAACATACCGCCATGAGCCCTGGATTGACTCAGGGCTGCCCCAGATCAAGCACAACACACACACACACACACACACACACACACACACACACACACACACACACCCCCTATCTCTGCTCCCAGTTAACAGGGGTTTTAGGATCACAATCTACAGGGTAGGTTTTATTGCTGATGGTCTTGATTTTTTTTTTTAATTGGGGGCTCGTAAAACTCATCACAATCCACCATGTCAAGCATATTTGTACATTTGTTGCCATCATCATTCTCAAAACATTTGCTTTCTACTTGAGCCCATGGTACCAGCTTCTCAATTTTTTCCCTCCCTCCCCGGCCCCCCTGCCTCACAAACTCTTGAAAATTTATAAATTGTTATTTTGTCATGTCTTAACTGTCTGACGTCTCCCTTCATCCACTTTTCTGTTGTCCATCCCCCAGGGAAGGGGTTATATATAGATCCTTGTAATCGGTTCCCCCTTTCTACCCCACCCTTCCTCCACCCTCTCAGTATCGCCACTCCCACCACTGGTCCTAAAGGGATCATCTGTCCTGGAAACTGTGTTTCCAGTTCTAGCCAGATTTGTAAGGTAGATTTGGGATTATGATGGGGGTGGGGGTGGGGATGGGGTAGGAGAGGAAGCATTAAAGAACTAGAGGAAAGTTGTATGTTTCATTGTTGCTACACTGCACCCTGACTGGCTAGTCTCCTCCCCGAGACCCTTCTGTAAGGGGATGTCCAGTTGCCTACAGATGGGTTTTGGTTCCCCAACCGCATTCCCCCTCCTTCACAATGATAAGATTTTTTTGTTCTTTGATACATGATACCTGATTCCATCGACACCTCATGATCACACAGGCTGGTGTGCTTCTTCCATGTAGGCTTTGTTGCTTCTCAGCTAGATATCTGCTTGTTTCTCCTCAAACCTTTAAGACCCCAGACGCTATATCTTTTGATAGCCGGCACCATCAGCTTTCGTCACATTTCTTTATGCACATGCTTTGTCGTCAGCGATCATGTTGGGAAGGTGAGCACCATGGAATGTCAATTTAATAGAACAAAGTATTCTTGCATTGAGGGAGTACTTGAGTGGAGGCGCAATGTCCATCTGCTACCTTAATACTTAACCTATAAATATATAGATCTATTTCCCCATCATCATATATAAATATGTTTACATATGTACATGCCTTTATTTAGACCACTATAAATGGCCTTTGCCTCCTACTTCTTTTCTCTATTTCCTTTTACTTTCCTCTTGTCCCACTATCATGCTCAGCTTTCATTTGGGTTTCAGTAATTCCTCTCGGTTACATTACCCTTGGTCACACCCAACTAGGCCTCTACACCCTCTTCGCCACCAATTTGGATCACTTGTTCTCTTGTCCCTGGGTTTGTTTACACCCTCCCCCCCCCTCTCCCATGTCCCTCTGGAACTGTCGGTCCCATTGTTTTCTCCTCCAGGTTGTTTATCATGCCTATCTTATCTAGATAGATCTGCAGAGATAATAATCTGCACCAAAAATAAGACAAAGCAAAACAAAGCAACAAAAGAAAAGAAAACAACAACAACAAAAAAACCAATGACCAAAAAAAGAAAAGCCTGTAAATAGTTCTGTTTGTTGACCTTTAGGAGTGTTTTCTGGTTGAGTCTGATGGGGCGCCATACCCTTGCCCCAAAGTCTATTTTTGGTATTCCCTCAGGACTTTATTGCTCTGTTCCCCTTGCTGTTCTGTTGCACACCCTTTGTGTTTTGTCACAGTGTGGTGGGGTCAAATCGGGTGCAATTCCTACACTGCATCTCCAGTGTTGTCCACTGTAGGGCTATGGGTCAGTGAGGGAATGTCGTGTCTCATAGTGGGGCCGGCCAAATGGTCTTCTCTGTGCATTGGCTGCTCTGAGCAGGGATAGGGTCCTCAAGGCTTGGTGGGCCAGGATGTGCTCCACTCTCTCTTCCTCCCTCTTCAGTTGCTCCTGTGTGCGTCAATCAGACATGTCCCTCTCCCTGAGCTGTAGCTTCAGTGCTGTCCTCTGGAGTAAATTCTTCTGTGGGGAGGGGCGGCTGTCCACATAGCTGGGATTGGGACCGGCCCCTCAGGATGATCTTGGTTTTCTACACACTTGAAGCTTAACAAGCCCGCGGCTATATCACCCCGAGGGTACCTGATCTCGGAAGCTAGTAGGCTAGCAGGGTTGGGGGTCTATTTAGTATTGGAATGGGAAACTTCACAAGTAGAAGAAAGAAAGACAGATAGACAGAC